AACATTGTCGAGCGTTCACCGTGAACTTGATACTGAGAGGGTCACAGTTCAGAAAACTGTTGAGACGAGGTCCAAGGCTTTTTACGAAGACAAGACGATTGGCCTTGATGAACAGGGGTAAGAGGTCAACCTTGTGGAGGGCAAAAAGATCGGCTCAGTATGAGCTCGGGAAGGCGCAAGGGATTGAGATAGGAAAGGCTGAGCAGGCCGCCGAGAGTGAGGAACTTCTAGAGACTTAGCTTACAACCAACATTTAATGTGTGCTAAGGACTTTATAAAGAGGCAAGAACCTGGATTTTATCAGGGGCGTTTATGCCCGTAAAAAAAAGATCATCTAGATTTGACCTCCGGCGAAGACAACGAGTCGGATCAAGATGTGGAGGCGATCTTTAAGAAGAAGGTTGGAGCCCATGTTCGCGCAGAGTCGATCTCACAATTGCACTCTGGTTCAACCATGGTATTATTGGCTCAAAAGATCGAGCCCGAATGACTAATTGTAATCCTGAAAATTAGGCACTGTTGGCCAGTATTGTACTTTTTTTCCTTAAGTTATGTTTTTTCCATTGGGGTTTACTTAGCAAGGTTTTTAACGAGATAGCAAATGTAACATATAAATTTGCATATGTCATTTACTCTTTTCTTCGACTACTTTTTTAAAGAGGCATAAATAATGTCCAAGAGGGAGTGTTGTAAATAATTATTATTTGTAGACACTACATAGATATAAATTTAGAGGTATGGGCTAAGAGTCCATCAAGTCATTAATAATGTACATTGATTTCCCTCTATATAGTGTAAAAGTGAATTAATAAAGATAATCGATCTTTGACGATTTCTCTCTTATGTGTTTCGTTTGAGTTTTCTTTCTCTCGTGTTCTTGTCTTCTTGTTTTTTTCTCTTTTCTCTATGTACAAGACAATAAATATTACAACAATTATAACATAGAATACATTGATGTCTTTTAACCAAATTTATGTAGTTTAAAAAAAATTAAAATTCTAAAATGTTGGAACCCACGAGGATCTCGATATGCATAAATCACAGACAAACATTCAACATAAACCTATGCGCAGCGGATCTAAAGGTTT